CCCAGCGTCTCTGGTGGCTGTGAGGGCTGCTTGTGAGGTGTCTGAACCCAGGGCAGTGCCAAGGCCTCACCTGTGCTGGGAAATGAGGTGCGCTTTGACTCCGCGGTGAGGTGGAGACAGGGCAGTGGTGGTGCTGAGGTGGAGCAGTGGCTAAAGAAGGTCCTGGGCATCTTTGGTTCCTGCTGCTAACCAGGCACAGCCTGGTCCTGTCACTGTTTCTGAAGGACTTAGGAGGTCAGAGCAGCCACGGGACTTGTGAAATCCCCGTCTGCCTCAGGTTGCTGAGCACGGCACCCGCAGGATGGGGGTCTCTGTTTTACCCATCAGGGCTCTGGTCCCAGGGTGATGATAACGTGTCCTGCCCTGCCTTTGACTCAGCCCTGCATCAGCCGGAAAGATCCGCTGTGTTGAGACAGGCCAGGGCCTGCAGGGACTGCTGCTGCCCTTTGGGAACTGTGGTCGGGGAGCGGGTGTGCTCTGACCCCTTACTGCCGAACTCAGGGAGACACCTCATGCTCCTGTGCCCCTCTCTGCTCTCATTGCTGCCATTGCACCGTGGTCTGAATGAGGAAAAGCGCTTGGGCTGAGGTCCTCCTGGCATCTCACGTGTTAATATTCACAACATAGCAGCGTTCTGGACTGACGCAGACTACAGCTGTGATTGTTTCGTCTTTGTCTTACAGCCGGCAAGGTGGAAATCTTGAAATGGCTCTTCACGTGGCCGCTGAGTTTTGTGCTGTACTTCACAGTGCCCAACTGCAACAAACCCCACCTGGAGAAGTGGTTCATGGTGACCTTTGCTTCCTCCACCCTCTGGATCGCAGCCTTCTCCTACATGATGGTGTGGATGGTGCGTACCAACCAAAGCAGGAACAGGCAGCAGAAGGGGGTTTTGACAGCTGGGAGAAAGGTGTACCAAGTTCTTCATAGCTGAGATTTTAAACGAGAAACCCCAAGTCCGCTTCTGTTTCTATTAGACCTGTCCACACTGAAAGAAGAAAATCAGGGGCAGTAGCCAAGGCCTTTGAACTTGGGCTGAAATTTCACCCAGATTCTTTAACATGGGAAAATGATACACTTGCTCCAATTTAGCACCTCCTTGCCATGCTGGGAAGTGTAAAGAGGCCCTGATGCTGGTAAGAATCTGGCCCCAGTAGCTTTTCCTTTCCTTGGAGCAAGCAAGCTTGAGACAGTTGTGAATGATAACATGTGGAGCTGTTATGTTTGGTTTTCAGTGAGCCATTTCCTAAACAGGAAATAGAAAACCACTTGTTTTCCTCTGCGTTTTCACCTGTGAGGATGAGGTGTTTTTTAAGAAAAAAGCTATTCCAGCTTTCCACAGCTGAAATACCAGAGCCCACAGGGTCACTGTGCTGCTTGTAACGTATGAATCACAGAATCACAGAATCACTGGGTTGGAAAAGACCTCTGAGATCATCATGTCCAACTGTTCCTGTCTACCCCCTAAACCATATCCCTAAGTACCTCATCTACCCGCTCCTTAAACACATCCAGGGATGGTGACTCCACCACCTCCCTGGGCAGCCTGTGCCAGCTTCTGACGACCCTCTCAGTAAAGAACTTCCTCCTTCTCTCTAACCTGAATGATTACCTGAATGGTTCACACTTCTTGCAGTATGCTGCAGAGAGAGCAGAGGAGCAGTTACATGTGGGTAATAGGAAATGGACATTATTAGACAAAGGCATCCAGAATTTAAAAACATGAATTGATTTGAGGAGCACTGATTTATCAAAGACTGCACAGCAAAGGAAGGAGGAAATTAAAGTACCTCCTCTCTGCCAGTAGGATTTGTTTGCAGTCACCGGGGGATATCCCCCTACGTGTAGTATTCCCATCGTATAATGAACCTACGGGTTGTTTTAGTGTCTGCTTAGCTATTATGTCTGTATCATAATGTCTGCAAGCTTCAGCTGAGATCAGGACGCTGTTACACAGGGCAATGGGCCACCCTGCGGTCCCTTTCCAGGTTAGTGTCAGGAAAATTGTGGATGAAAGGCGTGAAGCAGCCAGCCAAAGAGGATACATAGCAGCTCAGTGCTGTCCTCTGCCAGGTGATGAGTATACAAAAAATCCTGCTTTTCTGTAGAGAAGACGTGAGCTTGCCCTGTCTCGCAGCATCTTGCAGAACTGGGCCGAGCTGGTCTCTGATGTGGTTTTTGTAACAGCCGGACGGTTTGTTTCCTCTCCCCAGGTGACAATCATTGGCTACACCCTGGGGATCCCAGATGTGATCATGGGCATCACTTTCTTGGCAGCTGGAACCAGCGTGCCTGACTGCATGGCGAGCCTCATCGTAGCCAGGCAAGGTAGGGTCTCACTGAGACGTCGTGCTGCTGGGGAAGTGTTTCCTTCTTTGGGCAGCACAGATGTGTCCTGAGTGTGAGAACACACAGGGCCGGGAGCAGAGAAGGAAATTAATTATGTTGCTAATTATGATGGTGTGGAACAAGTTTTGGCACTATTGTCAACCTCAGGCCTTCCCCAAAAGTCACAGTGCTTTTTTAATTACAGTACCAGTGGTACAGAGTTGTGTAGAACATGGCATAAGGGTCTCAGGTCACTGTCCAGCTTTTCTGCACAGCCATAGGGATTGGAAGTGGGCTCAGCGCCTTCAGCTCTGCTCCCTGGTGTGATGGGAGGGCAAAGGGGAAAGGAGAGGGACGGGACGAGGGGATCTCCTCCAGTTCTTCACCTCAGCCTGTGGAAACTGCCTGGACTAGCTCAGATTAATGCACTTCTGTTTGAAAGTTGGAAGGCTTTCCTGAGACGTGTCTGATTGCGCGTGGTTTCCATTCCTGCAGGTATGGGGGATATGGCTGTGTCCAACTCCATCGGAAGCAACGTTTTCGATATCTTAATTGGCCTGGGCCTCCCATGGGCTTTGCAGACCCTAGCAGTGAATTATGGATCATACGTAAGTCCTGTTTGTTCACATCGTTTTTAATTTCATTTATTTTACTAAAACAGATCTGTTTAGGAAAAAAAAAATGAAGTCCAAAATTCCGTGAATTGGTTTTGAAGAAACAAATAGTTCTGCTGTGTTATGATCTGGGAGTGGTAGCAATGAATTGTCAGTGGACATTCCCCATCCTTTGGAGAACAGGTGCTTCTGTTTCCTCTTAAAGACAGCGCTCTGTGCCAAAATAACCTAACCCCCTAGAGTATACTGTATTTTCATGCACTTGTATGTGATCCAAATAAGGAGAACGATCCTGTTTTTAGTAAGACAGAGGGGATAAACACATAAGTGGAAAGTAAAGGGTAGAGCAGACCTGCAGGGCTATGGTGAGAGGAATTCTTAGTGCCCCCTACCCCATTCTACAGTTCATCCCATGAGTCCACCCCGTGGAGGGTTCAGGCTCGTAAAAGTGCTTTCTCCTTTGTAAATCTGTTTGCAGTCACCTTCTTGTCCTTCACACGTTTCCAAGTGGTTCCCAGGTTGTTTGCTCCATCCCAGGAACCACGGTTGGGCTGACCAGCCCGCAGGTCCTTCGGTCTTCCCTCTTGAGTACAGGAGTGACAAAAGGAAGTGGTGCTCCAGGAATAAAGTCCCTTTCATTAGCGAGCAGCTTATCTGTAGCTCATCTGTATTTTTGTGGAAAAGGGTGAGAACAAGTGGCTGAGCAGAGGCAGCCAGTCTTCACAGAGGCACAACAGTGTCACTGCTGTTTGGCACACCCGAAATGTTCATTGTGCTGCGTGATCACATGGTTAGAAAAGGCAGTCTTGGAAACAGCCCCACAGGTAGCAGAGTTTCCTCAGTTTCCACTTGCAGCTCCTGGATTTCTCTCCAAATCCTTGGATAATTTGAAGAAAGAACCCAAGCTGCTCCATCCATGGTCCCTGTTATTAATCGTTTGAGTGTTGCCAAGCTGCCAGCAGAGGCTGGAGGTGGCTGGGTCAGGTGTACAGCACTGAGAGCGTGAGGTGCTGCTGTGGCTGCTGCAGGAGAAGCATCCTCGGACAGACACAGGACCTGCAGCTTTTACAGCCAAGGAATGGAATCATAGCAGAGTGCTTCTGATATTCCTGAATGAGCTCATTTCTTTCGTGCTTGAACCCCGGAGCAAAACAAATTCGGGTTTTGGCAGTAGCTCCTGTTTTCCCTTCAGCAGCTGCCAGAAAAGAGTGGGATCACGTGTATTTAATTCCCACTGCTTTTGCTCTGCTGTTCAGCCTCGGTTCCTCACTGCCCGCAGGGGAATCGCTGGAGCTGGCAGCAGCACCTTGGTATTGGCCAGGCAGGAGCGGGGCGATGGCCCCCATTCAGATCCAGAGCAGATTTTGGACCTGCAAACCCTTCATGTGCATTCTGGGCTGCTGCAGCCGCTCGACACGAGCCAGGCCCCAAAGCTGAGTGTGGGAATGGTGATTTTCCTCCTGCTCCATCTGCAGACAGCTCTGTCCTGGGGAAGGAGCATTTCCCATGCTGAAACCAGCAGAGATCTGAGCTTTTCCTTCTGTAATACAGAAAACTGCAGCTGAGGCCCTTTTCCTGCTCTTTGCTAAAACCTGAAATTCCCTCCTTCCTTACTGTGAGTTTTGGACGTTTTTCCAGCCTCGTTTTCCCTGAACTCACACGTTGTCACAGGCCCTAGAAAACCTATTCCATGGCCTCGTGCGGGAAATGCCACTTGTCTCCTGGGAAGGCTGCTTGACCGATTTCTACCCTAATTTGGGGATTAAGGACACATTTTTAAGATATTGTACCAAATTTCAGTGCCTTCTGAGCTCCTGTGCTCACAGTCAGAAGTCACAAGAAGTAGCAGGGCAGGCTGCAGTGGGAATAGTTCATCAATTAAAACTGCATTTCCAGAGCTGTAGGCCTGTGGGGAATTTGTGCAGCAGCAGCAGCAGGTAGTCCAAAAAATAAAGGATCCTTTAGGCCAGTGTGGAACTGAAATGAGAGAAATGAGTAAAACAGCTCCTGGTTCTGGGTTGGAAACGGGTGGGTATTGGATGGGAAATGAATGGGAGAGGCAGCAAGGAGCTGCTGTGCAGGGCAGACAGGGCTGAACCCGTCCCGTGAGCTGCATCTTCTCTTTGTTGGCGCTGGATAAGAAACAGCAGTGTTGGCTAGAATCAAACGTTCTTGTTTTCATCAGTACTTGGGGTTTCCGTTGTGTTTTCAGACACTTCCAGAACTAGGCGCAGGGCTTTGGCAGCGCTCCTCGGGTCGCTCCTAACGCAGAACCAAACACCTCGGTGCCCAGAGGCAGGGGTGACAGCAGGGAAACGTGCTTTACCCCAGACGGTGTGGGCTGTCTGTGGTACATGGGGAGGACTCTGACGTGAGCTGTGCCCAGGGACGTGGCTGATCCGACACGGGAAACCCCGTCTGCCCCCAGAGCAGGGTTTGCTGGAGAACCTCTGCAAGCCCTCGGGCTGCAGCCGCCCCAGATGCTTGGCAGTGAGTTTTGTCTGGCTCCGAGGAGACTCCTGTGTTGGAGTGAGAGTATTTAGCAGAAAACAACCCCAGAGACCAGACCATTGCACTTTGGGCCTGGACAAACGCAGGCAGCTTTTCTTCCCCATGCATCCATCCCAGCCGTCCCAGGGCACGGCTCTTTGAGGCCAGGCTTGCGTCAGTGTGGGTTGTTCCAGCTGTCGCTGCTGTTTTCATTCATCTCTTGTTGTTTTATGGCCCCTCTCACCCGCCGTCTCTGTCCCCTTCCTGCCTGCTCCGTGGCGCGGCAGGGAGATGCCATCCATGCCCACGGGGAAACATCTGGAGTCCTGCACGGCTTTTGCAGGGCTTTGAGCTCCCCAGCAGTGGGGTTTCACCCAGAGCGCTGTGCTTTTCCTCCCCTCAGTCCAGCTGCCACACGTATCCGTGTCTGACAACGTGCATTCCACGGCTCGCCTTTGCTCGCCCCGGGAAACCACCCTTTGCTGTCTGCGTGCGAGGGGTTCAACCCTGCTGTCCCGTGGCACAGGAGGTATCGGGTTGTGACCCTCACAACTGGGCCCATTTTTTGCAGAGCGAAAAGCCCCGAAAGTGAAAGCTGCATTAGAAAATGGCCTTTCACCCCTCCCAGGAACAACGTGCATTCCACGGCTCGCCTTTGCTCGCCCCGGGAAACCACCCTTTGCTGTCTGCGTGCGAGGGGTTCAACCCTGCTGTCCCGTGGCACAGGAGGTATCGGGTTGTGACCCTCACAACTGGGCCCATTTTTTGCAGAGCGAAAAGCCCCGAAAGTGAAAGCTGCATTAGAAAATGGCCTTTCACCCCTCCCAGGAAAACCCTTTCTTTCCATGGCAACAATCGAGCCACGTAAAGGAAAGTTCTTGTTGTTTAGGTTAATTAATAGCTAATTGCTCTGTGTAACAGTGGGAGCTGGGCTAGGTCCCAGGCCAGGAGTGGTGCTGGTTGAGCCTGAGGTGAGCGCTGTTAACCTGGAGTGAAACTGCAGTGTTTTAGTGCAGTGCAGCTGCAAGGGAAGGCTGGTGCTGACGGGGCTCCACGTGTGCTTTGCCCGTGTGGGATCAGCGCGAGGTGTGCTGCGTTCATTAACCTGCCACGTGCAATTAGCATTCGCTTTCTGAATAGCCCTCTATAGCACCTTCCATTCCCCGAAGAGGAGCCCTGCAGGCAATCCAGAGCAAGCAGCCCCAGAGCCCTCGGTGGGAGCGCTGTGCTCAGAGCGCGGGCTCGCAGACCTTTGGCGTGGTCACTGTCCACGCGTCTGATGGCTTCGTGGACGCTCGTGCTGTAGCTGGGGAGCGGCGTCTGCGCTTCGGGTTGAATTCAGACGTTTTCCGTGGTAAAATGACTCCAGCTGCTTCGTTTGCTTCCCTTTCTGTAGATTCCTTTCCATTTGATGCGTTTCATACCGTCGGTTTTTACAGATACTGGCACTGGCCAAGCAGAATTCCTGACCGACATCCAGACAGGAATTTAATGTAACGGAGCGTCTGTCAGTCCCAGCCAGCTGCTGCTCGCTTAGGGTAGCAGGGAAGGTGGCTTTAAGTCTGTATTTTAGTTACACAAAGTTAATTTAGGGTTTTTTGGGGCATTTTTAGAGTAATTGAAAGGGACGGGTTCGCTGTCATGCAGGGACTGTTCAGGTTGGGAGCAGAAGTGGAGCAGATGCAGGGGAGAGGATGGAGCTCGGTTGGACCGACTGAGGTCAACTTTGACCAGCTGTGAGAGAGGAGCTCTTGTGGGTCAGGGCCTGGCCTTGTCTCATCCCAGAGCAGCTCCTGCTTCAGCACAACGTTGAGGTTTGCTCAGGACCGGTGACAGGAGCTGCTGTGACCTGAGGTGCCTCTCCGTAGGTGCAGAAACACCCTCCCGTGCACCACACACAACCTGCAGCTTGCCTTCACAGTGCCACTTCAGTATCTTTTTCACCTTCAGTCATGCAGACGCTCCCAAAATTGACCTTTGCACTCTGAAGCAATCCAAATCCCTCATTTCCTTGGACACTCGGTCCAGTGAGAGCATTGGATTTTACATGTAACGGCTATAGGAGTAGCCAATGTACATACATGCACTTTCAGCTCATGTCTTAAAGAAGTCCCGTAACACCTTTAAGAACAAGTTGTCATCGTGGCTGTTCTTTATGATGCCAAAAATCAGTGAAGAAGGGAAACGTGCCGTTTTTGTAACCCAGAATTTTAACATCCGTGGAGATAGCAGCACATGTCAGGCAGCAGCAGCTCTGCAGGCTGGTGGGATGCAGGTGAGCACAGGTGCTGTGGTACAAGTGCCCCAGCGCTCGGGAGATCGTGGTGCTGCTCATCGTCAAACTGGCGATACCCTCCTCTGGCAAACTGGCTGCTTGCTGGCCTGGCTGGAAGGATGCGAGCACTGAGGAGTGGCCACTGATGCACTGGGTACTGGGATTTTCTGTGCTGACAGTTGAGAAGATACCACGGCATGAGAGGTCACTTTGAATTGTTTATTGGACCAAAACCTGTTTAAAAGGCAAGAAACAAACCCAGCTGTTAGAAAAAATGTGGTGTTGGAGGTGGATGAGCTTTCGTTCTGGGAACTGTTTTCTCGTCTGCAGATCATTTGCAGGAATGGAGTAATGGTTTTACTCCTCCTTGTATACAGATGTAGAAGAAACCGAGCAGTTAAGAATTGGCTGCCATGTAGGAAGGTCACTGCGTTTGGTTCTGCTGCTTGGCCTCAGCAGCAGCGCGGGGTGACCCAAAATGCACCTGCACTGCGCAGCATCCAGGTCTAGTTACAAGCAGTAGCAACGTCCTTTCCACAGCATCCTTGAACAATACTCATGTGTAATTTCTTGCTGAGATTGGTCTCTGCCAGGAGACCTGGGTATTCAGTCACTGCTTTCAGTAGTGATCGGTTTTGACAGCAAGGGGATGGTCAGGCTCCCCAGGAGAGCAGGAGGCTGAGGAGAAGCATGATCCTAGCTCAGGAACGGCCTGGAGAGGTGGCTTTGCTCTCCGCAGGCTTCCTAAGAGCTTTAGGTTTGTGTCACATAAAATCACGTTTTTAAAATGTGTGTGTGTGTTTGTAGATATATATGTGTGTGTGTGTGTGTGTGTGTGTGTTTGTGTGTGTGTGTGTGTGCATTTTATATTTATATACATCAATTTCATGGGGATCAATTTGGAAAGGGCAGTGTCAGGAGGAAGGAGCCAGGCTCTGCTCTGGGATGGCCAATGCCAGGACAAGGGGCAATGGTCCCAAGCTGGAGCACAGGAGGTTCCAGCTGAAGCTGAGGCCAAAGTTTGTGAGTGTGAGGGTTGTGGAGCATGGCCCAGGCTGCCCAGAGAGGTTGTGGAGTCTCCTTGTGTGGAGACACCCAAAGCCCTGGCCGTGTTCCTGTGTGACTGCTCTGGTGATCCTGCTGTGGCAGGGGTTGCACTGGGGGAGCTTTCCAGGGCCCTTCCCACTCCTGACAGCCTGGGATTCTGGGATTCTGTAGATGTGTTCAAAGATGCAGGTGAGTGCCTTTGGTTGGACTTCAGAGCCTCTAAAAGTGGCAGTTAAATGGCTCCACAGCTTTGAGGTGCTGTATCTTGGTTCTCCCCTTGCACAGCGGGGCTGGCTCTGCCATGGGGATGGCTCTGTTGCAGCCTGTGGTGTGGGTACCGTCGTGACGATGTCTCCACACAGCCCCGCAGGCAGTAACTCATTGCTTTGCCTTGTTTGCCTCAGTGCTAAATCGTGTTCAGCCTGTGCTGGTGTGCCAAGATGCATCGACATCGATGACTTTCAGCAGCTGAGGTTACTGACTTGCCTCCTTCACCGAGATAAGAGCAGGGAAGCAGTTGTGTGTGTGTGTGTCCTTGTTTATTCCTTCCCCCCGCTGCAAAGCATCAACTGGTGACTGAATGCAAAGTTTCCTTTCTCCCATTTGTTCTTGCAGGACTCACGTAGGAATTGATTGCCTAAATGAAGATTTCATGACATAACACTAAGGGATGACAAAGCTCGTGGGGGGCAGAACAGTTTGCAATGCTGTCAGGTCCTGAGAACGCTGCTCCAATAACGCCCCTTTGGCAACAGGGAGCAGGCAGAATAGTCCGTGATGTGATGGTCTGACCTGGCATTGGCAGCTTACACACCAGAGCTTACTGCTCAGCAGCTCAGGGTCACAGAATTACCAGCAGAGAGAAGTGCTGTTGCTTGAAACAGTGACGTGGTTTTATAAACTTCCTTCTTTTACAGATCCGGTTAAACAGCAGAGGACTTATCTATTCTGTTGGTCTCCTGCTGGCGTCTGTTTTTGTCACAGTACGTATACGGTCTCTTGTTCCTCATTTCCCAAGGAGTGCTTTCCATGGGCGTTCTCCTCACCTGTTCCTTTCTCACCTCCAGCTGTAGCAGGGCTTGCAAAGCCCATTGTTAGGGGATAGAGCGGTCACTCCTATTGCAGACTCCCCAAGACTTAACCTGGCGCTGCAGAAGCTGTCGCTCTCACAAGGTGGCTCTCATGTTTGTGTATCCCCCATGGGATAAGCCTGGGAGATCATCAGTAACCATCAGTTATTTTTCATGCTGGAGCTGAGGCAGATCCCTCGGTGTGTGATGTTCTCCTGGTGGACAGGCAGACAAAAAATGTCATAGTTTGCTTTGGGGCTCCGTAGGAACCTCCTGAAATACGTCAGAGACCAGAACACGGTGCCTGGACATGGTGGTGTTGCTGCTGCAA